CTTACTTACTTACTTACTTACTTACTTACTTACTTACTTACTTACTTACTTACTTACTTACTTACTTACTTACTTACTTACTTACTTACCTACTTACTCATCTCAAAGCCACATCTGAGCTGAAGGAAATCCAGTGTCAAATATGTGTACCTCTTAAAAAGAGACTTTTACAAAAATGTCACTTTTTTCTTTATTTTTTCTGATTTACTTTTGTAAACCAGAAGGTTATCCCAGAAACGGGCAGCTTAAGCAACATCGCCACCCTCTGATGCCTCAACTCTAATAGATGCAAAAACATCCAAGAATGATACTGAAATGAACGGCTATTTAAAAGGAAGACAGAAAACTGTTCATCCAAATACTACGCAGCATTGTCTTGAAAATGCAGGAAAATCAGTATTTAGCTCAATACAATTGTGTTAAAATAATAATAATAATAATAATAATAATAATAATAATAATAATAATAATAAACAGCTAAAATGCAACTGTAGCTGAGGTTTCACTGAAAAACTGTTTGTCTGCAGTTTGGCTTGTTAAACTTTGTTTTGAGGCCTTGCTTCCAAAGATGCTCGGTCTGTTTGAGATGCTGATCCACTTTCTGACACATCGTTGTTCATTTTAGAAGGGATGAGCGGTTCGCCTGACATCTGGAATGCTGTGAATGGGCTCAGCCAGCAGGGCTATGAAGGAGCGCTGGGAGTCAGCACTAACCACCAGCCCCAGGCGGGCAGCTACAGCAACCTGCCGCCGGCACACAGTCACCTGGTCAGCTCATGTCTCTCTCTCCGCCCCACATGCTGACGTGGCAGTGTTTTGTGTGGGGTTTTAATGAGCACTTGCTGTCTGTTCAGAACTTCTCTCCGCATTCGGTGATGGCTGCTGACATGAACAGAGGTCTTCCACCCATGTCCACCTTTCATCGCAACAACACGGTTCCTCGCACTCCGTCAGTCAACACCTCAGAGCACTCAACAGGTGAGGCTCAATTTCTGCTGTGCTTAGTTCCACTTCTTGCTCATAATTTTACAGTAAATGTTTTCTTTTTTTTCTCAGTCTCAGGAAGCCATGGAAATGTGTCAGGAGCGTCCCAGACAGGAGACACGCTGGGAAAAGCTCTGGCCTCTGTAAGTACACGCCACCTCAATCCCATTAAGGCAGCTCATCTATGGCCCCGTTATGCTGAAGCAGCCAGGTCAGGTCATAAAACCAGGACCTTAGAGACCCAGAGGAGTAAAGCAAAACATCCTCCTTGCCTGCAGTGTAATGCATGTTAAATAAGTGCTGTTCTTGTCTAGTAAAACTCTTTATTGGCTGTAAAATAACAAGAACTGATGAGTTTAGATCAGGTTACAGGGAGCCTCATGGTTGTGGCAGCAGATGTTAAAGTTTACACAGAACTGACACACTGATCCATTTTTCTCTGTCAGATTTATTCCCCGGATCACACCAGCAGCAGCTTCCCCTCCAGCTCCTCCACACCCGTCAGGTCTCCATCCCCGCTGCCGACTGAAGCTACAGGCAAGACAGAGAAAATCCCACAGCTTGTTGCTTCAAATATAATTTAATTTCACATGTTTTATGTTTTGCTTTAACTCTTTTGTTCTCCCCATCTCAGGTACCAACATGTGGTCTCGCAGTTCAGTTCAGGCCCCCGTCTCACCGCACTACGAGTCCTCGCTTATATCCATGGTGAAGAGCTTTTCCTCTATTACCTGTTTGCATTTTAATACTGAGATAAGACATAGATTAATAATTCAGTTAATTATCCATTAAATTTAGGAGAGCTAAATGTAATAAAATGTCAAATAATTAAATATTAAACAGAAACATATGGTTAAAAGGGCTTATAATAATTGATAATAGTGAAATGCAGGTATCAAAGAAGAGTGTAGACCATTTTAGTAATAACAATCACTTATTAAGTAGTATGCATAAATATTGTTATCACCTGCTGCCATGAATGTGGGTAACTGTTTGTATGTGTTTCTGTTTGTCAGCAATAATATCTTATGAAAGACCACACAGATTTTAATGAAAGTCACAGGAAGTGATCAACAGCTTCAACAACTGACTCTGGAGTCAAGTCCAAGACAGCTGCCACAGCTACTCCGCCTTAGCAAAGACAAAAACATCAATAAATCATTCAGTTTTACAGATATTTAGATAAAATACAATATGCTGAGAGTCATCCTCAACATAACCCGAGCCATACAATATACATTCTTTCACTTCATCTTAATTTTTCTAAAATTTTAAAAGTGTCAAAATCAAATTTTCACTAGTTCACAAAAGTCGTTCCTATACTTCAATGAGATTTTTTTAAAAGACATAAGTGCTCTCAGAGTCTTGTGTACTCCAGGTCAGTGGGAACTAGGAAAACATTTTTCAGCATTGCACTAATATGTACACAATCAGACAGGGATTATGTTCAGGATTTAAGGGTTAGAGTGGATTTAAATTCAGCGGTGGGGGGTTGTGATTATTAAAACAATTAAACCTTGGGAACTGAAGACCCTGGGAATTCATAGGGATGTCTGGTTAGCAACCATATTAAAACTGTGAGAGCTGTATCGTTGTAAATCTGTCTACAACAGTTTCCTCAATAACAAAAAATAACCTAATTATCTGCCAGAATGTTTTGCATTTAACTCACAAAACTTTTTTTAAATATAAGTTTTTTTGCAAATCTAAGGAGTTTAAATCCCAGATTAGCCTTCAGATGTTATGATCCAGCTCATAATACGACACAACATAAATTAATACATTAAAATGAGGTAAAGTCTACATCTAAAGTTGACATCATGGGAGCGGAAATCAGTCACATCACTGGTGTCTGAATGAAGCATGTGAACACTGTGAGCACTGTAACAAGCAAACAAAACTAAATTTTACAAAACAACAAAGAGAAGAAATCAAGGTCAGATTGAAGGCAGAAATAAAGTGACAAGAGATCTCTGGTGTTCTGCATCACTTCAGTCAACCTGCTGTCAAGGAAAACTTTCCAAACCAACTCCAAGAGGACCAAATGGATCCTCTGTTAATGCCTTATCTTTACTGCTCCAGAAACTTTTAAAAACTGGCATCTTCATTTGAATTTTCACTATTTACTCATACACCAATAGTATTTCAATGAGGAAAAACTGAGATAAAAACACTTTCCACAGGGAGGTCAGTGAATGTCTCTGTTTATGGTTACTGGTATGCCCGTTTTAGAACTCACAACAACAATGGAGGCATTTTTAAATGTTTTTCTACACCTACCTCACTTTATCCTGATCTTGTTGCCTTTAAACTTTGATTGTGTGTTGAAATATGTAATAACTGAGGGGAATTTTTAAATGGTGGAGAAAAAAATATATATATATTTTTGGAAAGGACTATCTCTAAACAAAGATGGTTTATCATGGGTATTTTGGTGTTTTGATGGAACTGATTAAAAATTGTTTCTTGATGCTAAAAGCAATGTCTCCTGATTTTTTTCAGTCTCAAGTGGAGGACCGTCTGGACAGACTGGATGATGTCATCCATGTCCTGAGGAACCACGCTGTGGGCCCCACGGCTGGGCTGACCACCGACCTCCACGGCTTGCTGAACAAGCCGCACCACATCCACCCGGGCTCGGGCAACTCTTTACCCCTCACGTGTCACGCTTCAGCCATGGTTAACAAACTTTACTCTGAAAGTATTTAAAACAGGGATGTGTGAATGGAAACTGGTGGCTGCTGGTTTTCAGTTTCAGCAGTTTTACTCCAGCTATGTTTGAAGGTTTCTGCAGGTAAAGATAAGTTTCTCTGGAGTACGATACAGAGTTTGTGAAAACTCAATAGTTTGCAGGGATGTAATAAATTCTCCTGCTCTCATTTTTTCCAAAATACATATAGAAAAGGCTCATTCATGAAAAGAATGGATAAAATAAGAGACATTATCTGAGATTAAATTAACTCTGTAAAGCCTGAGATCCACTTTGAACTGAGAATTAACAAGTGGATTTTGGCTTAGATGTTATAGGGATCCCCGATTAGTTGTAACATTAGACTTTATTTAATAAACATATATTTTAATTGTAAAATAAAGACAGTAAAAATACTGTAGGATGTTTAGTTTTGTACATTTTTAAAAATATATTTTAACACGGATGGAGCCATTTTATTTACACACAAAGCATTCTGGGTAAATGATGACGTGGATAGGTCCTCGGTGTGAGCGAGCTATATCCACCCTGAAGGTTAATCTWSGACAATATCTGAYGATCGACTCTTTTAAATGAAACCAGAGAGCGTTGACAGAGAGGAGAAGGTAGAAATGACTCAGCCTGTAACTGAAAATATAGATGGAGGACCTCAGTTTAGCTTGTTTGTCGCGCTAGCACCGAGCTAATACATATAAGGCAATGGCTGTGTCCAAAATGGCAGGACGGGCCCTCTGAAGGTCGAATTTGTCGGCCGCATACGTCACAGCGCCGCGACGAAGGACGTCCAAAACGGAAGACTCCTCCGATGCGTCCGACAAATACGTCCTTCTTTTTCCCCGAATCGAAGGACAGGTCTGATGGATCCTTCCCGGCCCAGCATATCCCATAATGCATTGCGGCCTGACCGGAGATTTTTTTAAGCTAGTAATGGCGGACGAAGCGAGAGAAAAGAATATGTTTTAAATAAAAATATGGTGATTTAAAAATTAAAAAAAATTAGCGGTTGTAATTCTAATACTTTTATCATTTGTATGGACATGTTTTTAAATATTATTTTTTGTCATAAAAAACGCGAAATAAACATGAACCTACAGCAGGTCAATTAGTTCTTCAAATGATACCTTTAAGTTAATTTTATAGTTTTGTGATATTAATAATGCTAATGTGTTGATATTTTTCTAGTTTTGATTTAAGTTTGCTTGTTTAGCGTCGTCACAGTTGCTAGGTGACAAGACGTATACGCCGGGGTAAGGAGGGGAGGCTAGACCGTCCAAATCCACAGACTCTTTTTTTCCGGTCTTCCCGGTCTACCAAGGACCCGGCCCTCCGAGACCGGGGAGTCTGGGTCCTCCGGAGGACCCGTCCTGTCGTTTTGGACACAGCCAATATAGCATCTGCGCTAGCACAAAGGCTAACAGGCTAAGCTGAGGTTCTTCTTCCATGAAGCAGCTCTGTTGTCCTCCATCCATATTTTCAGTTACAGGCTGAGTCATTTCTACCTTCTCCTCTCTGTCAACGCTCTCTGGTTTCATTTTAAAAAGCCAATCATCAGATATTGTCCAAGATGAACCTTCAGGGTGGCCATAGCTTGCTAGCAGGCTCACACCGATGACCTACCCACGTCATCATTTTACCCAGAATGCTTTGCATTTAAATAAAATGGCTCCATCCGTGTTAAAATATATTTTTAAAAATTTACAAAACTAAACAGACTACAGTATTTTTACAGTCTTTATTTTACAGTTAAAATATACTGTATATTAATCAAATAAAGTCTACTGTTACAGCTAATTGGGGATCCCTTTAAAAGTGTTTGAAAGATTTAACAAGTTGTAACTTTGTTAATATGAGACCTATTTAAGACCATGATCAGCTGAACACTCAACAACCAGCATATGATGACGTTTGTGTTGTTTGTGTCTCGTGAAGGTTGATGGCGTCATGATGAACAACAATCACTCATCTTTCCAGAGCAGCACACAAAACGCCCACCCATTCCTGGCCAGGCAGAGGGCCACGCTCCTGCAGGACGGAGGAGGTGGGGGTTTTAATTTTTATCTTATCAAGAGCCAAAGTCAAACTATTAAGTAAGTAAGTTAAATATAAGTTTTAATATTTTATTGTGTGCAGGAGTTCAGGACAACCTGGAGCTGAAGATGGAAAGCAGGGAGAGGGAGGAGACGATGCACACCAGCCATGGCCACAGCTCTGACAGCCCGAGATCAGACGAGGAGAGCGAACACAAAACAAATGGAGAAAACAGCACGAGGAGCAGGTAACCCTCCACACACACAGGGCAATTCAATTTTATTACGAAATCACCTGAAAGATGTGTAGAATCAGCTCTTTGATGATATATGATACACTAAACAAGTTTTATTTACTCGGTTTGTCTCTGGCTCCTTCATGTTAGCATCCATGAGGACGAGGATCTGAGCCCGGAGCAGAAGGCCGAGCGCGAGCGCGAGAGGAGGATGGCCAACAACGCCCGCGAGCGCCTGCGAGTGCGGGACATCAACGAGGCCTTTAAGGAGCTGGGCCACATGTGTCAGCTGCACCTGAAGAGCGAGAAGCCCCAGACCAAACTGCTGGTGCTGCACCAGGCCGTGGCTGTGATCCTGAGCCTGGAGCAGCAGGTCAGAGGTCAGTGCATCACAGGGAGATGACGGCACCCACGAAGGAATCAAAATAAATCATTATTAGATGACAGTTTTAGCTTGTTTGAGTAGTTTTAACCACATGATGGCAGCACAGTAAGCTGAAACTATAAAAATGATGACAGAAAAAAGACATTCTTGAACAACCTGTTTGTGCAGCTGGCTTGATTTTAGAACATTTTTAGCATCCCAAAAGGCTGTTTGATTAATTTTAGAAAATAATCATCATGATTTTAAGGAGTCATCTCAAACAAAATTCACTTTTTTTAGCCATTAAATGCATTTTGTTGTGTACTTGGAGTCTCTAGGAGTGCAGAAAATTTGAATTTAGTCTCTCCCGGTGCAGCGCAAATATCGTTATTTTCTGTTTGCATCATATATTTCAGTCTGTTCGTATCTTTGCTACCAAACTAGAAATATGGCCCAACAGGGCAGCGTGGACAATTATCCTTGGGAGTGATGCTGCGTTCTAGTTGCAACGTGACTTGAAATTATTAAGTGGGATTGACGTCAATTCCGAGTTAAAAACTTTCCAGTTTGCAGCTTGTCAGAATGTCAGATTAAAACTGTTTTTATTTCTTGCTCTGATGGAATAATGCAACAATTACACAACAATTGCGCTCTACACAGCATTTTGAGTACAAACAACATTAAAACATACAGCCTAATAATTACTATAAAGTACAACAAATATGACTGACTTAATGTAAAGTAAACAAAACAGAACTGCTAAAAATTGTAAAAGTAAGAGTTTCACTCTTTGTTAATGAAAGGAGCAGCCATGTTGAAATGATGTCACGCACGCTCAGGTATGATCATAATTTCTGGAAGTCTGAAATTATGACCTCACAATAAAACTGGAATGCAGCGTGAGACCTGGAGGGGGGGGCGGGGTGTGAAGTGCCTCGTTTGGATTTAAAGAGACAGCACCAAAACGAGTTGCTCTAGAGGGGCTTGTAGAGCTACAGCATCCTGGATTTCAAACCAAAATATTTCACTTCCACTTTAAGTATAACCCAACTTAACGATTTAAATGTGAAAAAGTAAGATTTAAAAGCAATATGTCTCCTTTAAAATCAAAGCTGTGAGGAATTGTTTATTTCATTTTATTTTATTTGGTGGAGAGAAAACAAAACTATGATTTTTAAAACACTTGGATGCTAAAGATTTGAAGCTCTTCCTTCAGTGAAATGAACATTATTTTTTGTCGCCTCCTGCAGAAAGGAACCTGAACCCCAAGGCGGCGTGTCTGCGAAGACAGGAGGAGGAGAAGGCCTCCGTCGTCATGACAGACCCACAATCTGTGCACCTCACTTTCCATCCAAGTCTGAGCGACCCGTCAAACCCCATGGGCCACCTCTGAGCGCCTGGTTCTGACAGCTTAAAGCTTGCCATCAAGTAACTAATTCATGGGTTGATTACTGATCATCAGAAAAGCGACGCTCTTAGAACGTGTTGTGTTTGGGATTATTTCTGACGCACTGTTTCTTTGACGTCTAGATGCTGGATGATGAACGTCCAGCTCCGTTGGGCGTCCGGCGTTTCCTGTAAATTCAGAGCGAGCACTGACATGTGACGCAGTCGAACAATCATCTCCTCTCCTCCCAAACGGATTTTTAACTCGGTGCCTATAAACTCTTCTTGTAAACCGGACGAATGCATTGTAATCTGCAGATGTTTTGTATATATTTTGTATATTTATTTCTGTTTCAGCACTTGGACAAAAAAGGGCAGATTCAAACGGGTTTGTGACTCACATTTTTAGTGCATCTTTTACTGCAGCCTGCATGGTAGTACGGGTGGTTAGGACTGTTGCCTCGCAGCAAATAGGTCGCAGGTTTGACTCCCAGATGAAGCTTTTTTTGAGTGAAGCTTGTTTTATTCCCTCATGCCTGTCTGGGTTTTCTTCTACAGCCCAAAAAACATGCAGGTTAGCTTAACTGGCAACTCTAAATTGTCACTATGAATGATCTCGTTCAGCTTTATGTGACCCTGTAATGGACTGGTGACCCATCCAAGCTACAGCCCACCTCTCACCCACTGACCGCTGGAGACATGCGCCAGCTTTTGACGACTCTAAACAGAAAGTGGGAGAAAGAAATGAATCGCTGGATGAGTTATTTAGGCTGCTGCATAAACCTTCCAATGAGATCACATTTGTGTTTTCAGACATGTTTCAGTTTTACTGCAGTGTGTGTGTGTGTGTGTGTGTGTGTGTGTGTGTGTGTGTGATATTGCAGGGATTTGAGCATTCTGTGAATGAACAAATCCTCCAAGAATGTTATTTAGCATCTGATATCGTCTGAAAATGTGTTTTATTTTGTGTGCACTGTTGAAAGGTGGACAGAATCCCACTTCTCAGCAAAATGAATCCCCTCCAAAAAATAGTCAAACAAGCTTGGCACCGGTTTGAGCTTTTACTAGAACAGTCAGGGCTTTTTTTATTTTTAATTTATAAGTTACCTTTTAATTGTGAATTTAATGATGTCTCTGGTTGCGTTTGTTAATTGTTTCCCTCATGAGGACTGTTTCTGTGACGTTTAGATGTAACCACATTATATCCTCTGAGCATCACGGTGATGTAGAGCAAGTGATGTGTGGACAAAATAAATCTGACGTACTCATGACATATTATGTACAGGATGTGTACAGTTTGAGTTAAAGGCATGTGTCTATATAACAATGTAGCAATAAATGTCTTTTTCAAATCTTTTTCATGTTTGATCACTCAAACCTTTTAATGTTGTAGAAAACATGGGCTTGGCTTTCAAAAAAGATATGTTATTAAAGCTTTTAATCTTTTAGGATGCAGTGAGTTAATAAATAAATTTGGACGTTGCTACAACAGTAAAGAAAATAAAAATCATGATGAAACAAGCTAATCACATGTTTTGCAAGACTAGACTTATTAAAACATTTTTAAAAACATACATAATTATTTTAGCAGCATAGATTACATAAATTATAAGATTAATAATAAACTATTATAATTATGGAAGCCCATTTCCGCCACCCTGATTAAAAAAAAATAAAACTTGTATCTCATAATTATGACTTAGCTATCTCATAATTATGAGATACAAGTTTTATTTTTTTATCAGGGTGGCGGAAATGGGCTTCCAAATATAATAAACAACTTGTACACAAAAATAAATAACAGGACAACCGCGTGATTCCTGCCTCAGCATCAATAAAATAGACAGCTGTCAATCAAGTCCCAGACCTGAGTGGGGGTGATCCATGACGTCATGCCGAGCAGCTGCGGTCACGTGACGAGACGCCTCGGAGAGAACCGCCTCTCTGAGCGGGCCGGGTAGATCGAGTCCGGCCGGAGACAGAGCGGTCTGATCGGTCAGAGGAGGAGGCTCCGCTGCCCACTTAGCGGACACATACAGCGGGGTAAGTTTCTCAACAAAAATGACTTTAAGTAGTTGTCTCCTGTGGCTACAGTTTATGATTCAGCTAAAACTAAAAAATAAATAAATAAAAAATAAGTTTGTCTACCGCCCACTTAGTTACGCTTTTATGAATTAGCTTAAATGTTATCATCAGTTCTGTTGGTTTAAGTGAACTACATGAAGCTGCAAACTGAAAATAGTTCAAGAGTGACTGTTTTACATGAAACTGAAACTCACCAAACATATTAATTTACAACGATTCGGACAGCCTAAATTATGCTTTTAGGTACGTTTGGTTTTGTTGAAGGGTTCAGAAGCTCCAGTGGTGTTTGGGTTTAACTTTTTAATGGCTGTATAGTTATAATGTATTATGTAGCAGCATTATAGTAAATAAATCACCAAAAACATTTATTGGTAAAAAAAATCCTCATGGGTGGTCCTAAAACAGGAAGGGAGTGACAATTAGTATACCTCAAAAACTATAACTTAAAAAATAACCAATAATTGAACTATCAGACTGCTTTTATCAGAATGTAATTATTGTCACTTCAAAATATGAAATTGAATATAAAAAGTTCAGTTAGTGACAGTCAGGAAAGCAGTGTTAAACAAGAACAGCAGCACTGGACCAGAACTGAAGTAGAACTTGGGTTAATATGACCCATGAGGCTTGTTAGTGTCCTGGTGGGTCATTTTGACCCAAGGGCAGCAGGAGGGTTAGAACAGTCTTACATCAAAATGTGTAACAATAATCTGGTTCTGTGTTGCGAGATAAAACTTTTTATTTAACAAATGTTAGCAGACAGTGAGTCAGCTACAGTTTGTGGTTGGTTTGTGTGTGTTTGTGTGTAAATGTGTATGAGGTTATCAGGGTGTATGTTGGAGGCAGAGCTGACCCTACCCTTTCACTTACACCAGTGGTCCGCAAACTATGGCCCGTGGGCTGGATCCGGCCCGCCTCTCCATTTGGTCCGGCCCCCAGAACAATACCAGAGAGCATTTAGTTTTTTTTTTCATATATGTGTATTTATATTTGATTACAAAGTTGGACTTTTGCAATAAAATGTTCCTTAGTTATGAACTATTTTCATTAACTATTATTAGTTAGTAACTATTTCATACATACATGCATATAACGTGACATTCTGTTCCACCCTTCTGCGGTCTGTGCCCCTATCTGGCAACCCCCAGAAAAAAATCCTAAACCTGCCCCTCTCAAAGAGAGAGCGGAGTAATGGCGAAATGATTAGGTAAGAGAAAAATTGATTCAGAATGCAGGGCATTTAAGCTTCAGTGGACAAACGATTATTTTTTTGTTCATCTGTCAAGAGGTGGTGGCGGTATTCAAATAATACAATCTGCAGCGACACTATGAATCCCGTCACAAAGACAAGTATGATAGCTTGCAAGGCCAAATGCGAGCAAACAAACTCTCAAAGCTAAAAAGTGGACTGTTAGCTCAGCAGAATACATACTGTGAAGAACCCAGAGAGGGTTATTTGATTGTGCTTTCTGGAAAAGAATAAATGTTTACATTTAGGCACTCCTGCAATAGTCACACTTTTTCTGTTACAAACTGACTCCGGCCCCCCACCAGAGAAGGGAAAAGTTATGTGGCCCTTACAGGAAAAAGTTTGGGGACCCCTGACTTACACCATCATTTTTTTAAACAAAACATTAGTTCTTAGTGATACTCATTTTTCTGAAACATTTTATATTTTAAAAGTCAGAAACAAAAGCCTGACATGTAGTTGTCAGCTAGGGAGCAATGAAAGTACGTATATTAGTTGGAAGTACTAGAAGAAAAAAACACAAAGGAACAGCTGTCTACAAACTCATATGTTTACTTTACAACTTGTTTGGAAACTAGAGGGAACTTGTTCACATTTTGTGGCGTGAATATACCCAACAAAACTTATGATCAGTACACAACCAAACATTACTGACATTTTTTAAATAATTGTTATAAACTTTTAAACATTTTAGAATCAAAGAACTTATAACAAGTCTGTGTTTTGTACCTTTACCACCTTCTTCTTGCTTCTCATTAAATCCCCTGTGCCATCCACTGACCTCATGATCTCTAGTAGCATTTAAGTTTCTGAAACTCTCTTTTTTTTAATGGTCAGTTTCTCATCCCATTACCTCTGACTTTGTTAACAAAGTTAAATTCTGTTTCTTTATCTGTTTTATTCGTCCTCCTTTCACCGTGACCTGTGACGGGACGGGTCTCTTGAGATGATGCATGATTGTTTTCTGCACAAACACACTTGTGTTCGGGTGTTTCTGCCTCATAATAGTGTATTTGTTGACAAGCATATTTTTCTAGCGGTATACCGTGAAGTGGGTGACGACACCTCGGTGTTTTCGGCCAGTTGCGGTCGTCATGCAGTTGCTTCAGCGGAGCTGGACAATAGTATTCCTGTCATTAGCACACAGAAGGAGCTGTTTTCATTGCACAGCATTATCAGCCTCTCAGCGGGGTCCATTTATTCTGTCTTTATGTTGGCTGCTCGCAGCTGCGAGAGGAGCTCTCAGGACGTCTGTCACTGTGCGCACACGACTCAGCTCCACTGTTTTGTAAACACTTTATTTAGCCGTACCCAGAGCCTCTGGCCATACCGTCATGATGCATCAGTTTTCCATTCACTCTCCCATGCAGGGCTGTGTAGCCTCCATTTAACTTGCATATTTGTGTTTTCACTAGATTACCAACAAATCCATCAGAAGCAGAATGGAGTCTCACAGGCTGAGTGGCTCCCCAGATGTCAGGATTCAGAGGGGCTACATGCCGCCGGCGCCACACTGTCCCAGAGCCAGCCAGGACAACCTGTTTGGAGTCAGGGTGCAGGTTCAGGGCATTAAAGGTCAACCCTACGTGGTTCTGAATAGTTCCGGCCAGGAGAGCCACCAGGACATTTCTGTCATAACTCACCAGGCAGGGTACAACCCAGGAGTGGTGAGGAGGTCCGTGGATGGACGGCAGTCTCCATCTGAGCCACAGAGGACTGGAAACTCCTCTTTGTTTCAGTATCAGAACCACCCAGAGACCTTGAGACCTTATGAGCCTGAAAGTAATAACTTTGTCACTCCTTTCCAAACAGCCTCAACGTTTGGGTCCAGACAGCCACACACACTTCCTGTAGCCAAACCAAGGATTCCTTTGCCCGCTGAGAGTCCAGCAGCAGACCCAGCTGAGGTGATCCAAAACGAGACGCTCCCCTCAGGCGCACACGCCGACCCACAGTCCCCAAACTCAGTGGACACAGACAACATCATGTCTGTCGGGAAGCTGATCAGCCAGTTCAACACCAGCCTGCGGAGAGGAAGAGGTCCAAGGAACAGACTGGACCCAGAAGCTTGCCGGCGGTCCCGCAGTGTGGACGGCAGTCGAATCCCAGACTCTTCCTCCTCATCCTCGTCGTCTAGCAGACCCTCATCTGTGAAAGGTAGCGGAGGAGAAACCTCAGGCGGGGTCTATCCTCCGGGGTCAGCCAGAGCTCGACTCCTCGGTGGACAGTCCACTTTTACCAACAAAGTGGAGGAGAACAAGCCTGGCGCGCTGTTCAGAGCCCACCACGGCAAAGAGACTGTATCCCAGCAGACTCAGAAAGCAGAGAAACCCTCTGCCTTCAGGCCACGTGTCGACCAAACCGATGAATCTGAAGACAGAGAAGCACAGGTAAAGAGCTCGTAGTCGGAGCAGTTTTCATTTATCAAACTGTATTTATTCGCTGATGTGTTTTCTAACCAGGTAACTCCTGATCTTCTGAAAGGACAGCAAGAGCTCTCAGTCGATCCACCTGAAGACACAACAAAGCAAATACTGTTCACTTACCTGAAGAATGGGTAAGTGTCTCAAAATGTTTATTCACTTTAATTAAACTGGGTTTTATGGTGCACCTGTGCACGTTTTCAAAGGACATTTCAACTTGTCGGTTGGAAAAAAGGACTTTTGACAATGTGCAAACATACAAAAACCTCTAAAGCTCACTAAATTACACGTAATGCCTTTTTGTTTGTTATGTGACTTAAAGCTGTTACGTAGAAAGAAAAACAAACTGGTGTTTTGGATTAGGACTTGGGCATTTTGCGCAAACTTTCTGAAGCCAAACAAGATACAACCTGTGGCTCTGTGGGCTTTAGTGAGATTAACTAAACAAACTGTTGGCTCTAGCTTTCTGCACTTCAACAAAAACGAAAAAAAAAAAAAAAAAAAACACACTGAGGCTTGGTACAAAAATGTTTTAAAAAATATCTTGTCAAACTGAAATGGAAAAATTTAGGAAAAAGAACCTTAACTGCAAAACGTGAAGGTACGCACCATGATCAGGGCTTGTTTCTTCTACATCTGGGCTGAGAAATTTTGAAGAACATTGATCGTGCTGCAAGATTGGTAAATATTTTAATTTTAGGGATGCCAGTAGTTTTCAATCAGTGATGCCCAGAGCTTAAAGGGGTAGTGTGGGTGTTATGTATTTTCCAGGCATATAGTTCACATCTATACCACAATTAAGTAACTATGTTACCTTCAGTTGTTATGAAAATGCTGTATATATCAAAAATAAATTTGACTCATCATAGCCTTTCTATTTAAATGCCTTGAAATTGGCTTCTGACTCTTTAAGAACCTCGTACAGTTTCAAACACTGCCACTTCAACACGTCTTCACAACAGTATGTCATTCTGTTTACAACCTTTTGTAGGAGTGTTGTATTTTGTTGTTAAAAAAGAAGCAATATTAAATAATATAGTTTTGGAATAGGGCAATGTAGGGACTCAGTTTTTTTTTTTTTTT